GATCGGCAAATGATCGGCAAATGATCGGCAAAATGATCAACAAATGTGATAATATGAAGTATGTCCACCCTGCTCTTCTGAATATGTAATGTATCGGGAGTTAATGCAAAATTCCGGTACAAATTTTATTTAATGATTTTTTCACGTAGATTCTTAATCTGATAGATGATTGAGTGTAATATTTATTCATTTCGTTAAAGATGATGCAAAGTCTTCAAGTATACAAATCAGATTTGAAACGGCAAATCCAAACACGGATAAAAATGAATTAGAGGATAAAATAGTACGAATTCTTTTCAAGAACGATGGTCTCGATTTCATTCCTCAAGATTGGAATCGATTGAAGAAAATTGCCGAAGGAAACCCTGATGAACATAAAGTACATTTTAAATTCTCTTATGGATTATTTTATTATTACTAAGTCTATTAAACCATATTTCATAATATAGATAGGAGCTTTTGGCGTAGGCTTTTATTCGTTGTTTTCAGTTTTGTGAAAACCCATTGTAAGTTATTATTAAGTAAGATGATTTTTTTTTAATGAGCAAGACTAACCCGCGGAATATGTGAATTGTGTGTCTTCAGGTGGACAAGGAATGGCCTTTTATTGGCGTGAAGACCAATTATTTACCAAACTGGCGATATTGATCAGGATTGGACAACATTTTTAATGGACATGAGAGAACCCGCAGATGTATTTTATATATATATATATATTTTTTTTAAAAAAAAAAAATTTATAAAAAAAAATACTTTTATATTTTAGCTAATATTTGACGCATTAATTTATGTTAATTAGTTTTCAAATGTTGAAAATTTTACACGGTTCTTGGCCAATTCATTGGTAAACTTATTGTTTTATGTACTCTGAAGTTTATAATATTATCACATATCATTAATATTACTAACAAAAAAAAAAAAATAGGGATTTACGGGAAATCTCCGAGAAATTTTAATAATACATTGGTGGTATAACTTATGCAAGAACCAAGATCGATGAACTTATCTGGATTTGATGCATTTACTCCACACAAATTGTTTCTCCTTACTTCAGTAGTTGCTAACAATGTTCGATTAAGGTTAAAAAGATTGCCAATCCCAACAAACATAATTACTGATGATCTGATGGAAGAACCAGAATCCATATCTCTTAGAACTATTAGTGGGAATGTGAATGTTAATGTCGATGAAAGGTATTCTACAGAAATGGAACGAATTACTAAAAATAAACCTCCACCAAAGACAACAATCCAAATGATATTTTCTGAATTTGTTAATTCAATTGAGGGGAATATTTCTCAAATCTTTAAAGATTTACTTCCATATCCAGAAAAATAAGGAAAGATTTATATCGGGTTTCCAACTCATCAAACCACTGGATGTTGTTCTCATTTTGATGTTTGTGTAGATTGAATAGTCTAAAAAATTTCAGATTTTTCTTTCTTAATACATTCTTTGGAATTGCATTTGGGTTGTTTATAATTTTAGGGTGGTTTTACGGTGGAGGAGGTGGATTAAGAGCAATGTATGAAAATTTTAAAAATGAACATATTGTTGCTGGATTATTTTGCGCCATTTGTGCTTTGGTTTTAATTGAACTTAGCTGTAATGTTATAATGTTCCGTAAGGTAATTAATTAATTCTTCTCTTTTATTATGTTTTATGTTATTTAATTTTTGATTTACAAACCATTATAAATTGTTAGGTCTATTTGCATTTTAAAACACATGAAGATTGGACTTTATTTCCCCGTCGAAAGAATAAATCAAGGAATGAACAAGCGCGAGTTTAAGTATTTTCTTTGTGAAAACATTTCGAACCTTGCTATTATCTCTTATCCAATCACCAAAACAAAAAAATATTAAAAAATAGAAATTTGTTCATATGATGATTAAATGTCATATTTTATAACTACTCTCACAATGCGACGATAATCATTATATATATGTATAACTATCTTTTTATTAAGTTAAATAAAAATAAATTCGTACCAATGTGAAATTAATAGGGAAATTTTAGTTGATGTGTAGGAAACTTTGGCTTATTCTGTTCTTTTTATAGTAGGGTTTGGAATCGAAAGTCGTAAAGTCGAAAGTCAATTGTAATAACGGTTTTGAATATAAAAATCGGCAAAATCGTTTAATGATCCATTAGTCCGATTAATTGGCAAAAATTGGTTGCACAAAATCGATAGAAAAAAAAAGAAGCTAAGTATAAAGTTTAAACGAAATTGTAACGAAAATTACTAAAAAGTAAAAATACTAACCAGTTTGTTATTAAATATATCTTTTCAACAACGACACGTGCTAAATGACGAAATCTTGAAGCTTTAAAGAAATTATGAAGTCGAAACACTCACTGTTAAAAATTAATTCGATTATTATTAAAAATACTACATGAAAAAGTTGATGAAGAATTCATAAGTGAGCAAAGTGAAACTAAATTTATTTTATTCTAATAATTTAAGAAAAGATTGTATCGAAAAATCAAAAAATAATTGTCATGTGAAAGCTCACAATTTGTGAAACATAAACATTTAATTAATTTGTCTTTAATATTGTTTATAAATTTTTTTTTTATAACTGGACTGTTCTATACTTAAAAAGATTGAAAAAATTAATGTCGATTCGATTTTGCCGATTTTTGATTTTCAAACTGGAACTTTAAGTTGAATCGAATTAACTAAAGGATTGTTATTTCGATGCGTATTTCAGGCTACTTTGATTCTTTCTAAGATCGCAATGAATACAAAATTTATAAATTATATCTGCATTAATAATCTTTATTTATTCAACCGACCGATTTAGTCTTACTGATTTTGAGAGTGATTAAATTAATTTGATGTGACAAATAACTTATTTTCAACTATATGGATGATATTTCGAAATTTAAGAACGGAGATACATTGCATTTACGATAACATTTGAATTAACTATACATACATATTTAAATGTTAAATGTATTTTATACACTATTATTTATAAGATAATAAAAGTTTATTAATGGATTGACAATCTTAACGAGTCAAATAAATATTGAAATTTAGAATATTAAAGTTAAAAAAGTTTTCTTATATTTTAATTATTTGTTAAAAAAGTAAATTATTGTTAAAAAAAAAAAAGGCAGATTCATGTAAAACTTATACAAATATTCATCTATAATCGAGGTGTAAAATAGTCTTTTTCGGAATAAATAACTTTAGCGAGAATAAGCCATACACAATATGACTTCAGTTTAAACTTAATCTTTGATTTCTTGTTGAAGGCCGTGAATCGCTTCAAACTAATTATTTTTAAAGTATTTGTAGCAAATTTTACTGTATCGTTTATTCGCCCTATAATAATTCACTAGTAATTTGTTCTAAAAAAAACGATTTTTTGATTTATCAATCTAATTTTGACTAATTTTTAATTTTAGAATTTAGATGTCTAATATCTTACACGAAAACAATGTCTTAGAACTTCGTGATGTAATGTTTAAATATTAAATTGCTACTGGATCGAGTACCGCAGTAACCGACATTACCGACATTGCGAGTTAACATTTTGAACATATCTAAAACCTGATTCTGAAAAAATTTCGACTGAAATTAATTAATACCTTATTATTACATTTAAATGTAATAAAAATGAAAATGTAATTAAAATCTAAGTTTTTTAAATTTTTCTAAAGATTTTATTTTCTTAGATTACATTACAACCCATGTGTGCAAAACTAAAATGATCTAGAGACATTTCGATGCTCACAATAGCCATAGTAAAGGTCATTACAAGGTTTAAGTCCGACTTTAATGATATAATTAGGAAAATCGATTCTATTTTTTATAAGAAACTATTGTTATATTTTCGTCATATTGCGTTATACAATAAAAGTCTAAATAATTTTTTTAAGTTTCCTCCTACTATTGATCATACTACTCTCAACCCAATGGACTGATATATGTCAAAATGATGAGGGATCAATTATATTCATAATTGATTGATGTTTTTAAGGGAGATCCGTAACAAAGCCATGGGAGAGAAATTTTATTATAAAAATGACTCGTTTCGTTCTTAATTTTTAGATAGGATTGAAGTTTATTTTATGTTTGTTAATAAACCTATCCTCTTTTATCCTTCGTAAATCCATTTATTTAAATTGACACGCTAATTTTTGTTTTGTTATATCAAACATCGTTGTAATCACTTCAATAAATTATTATAATTACATTCCTTACGAAAATAAAAAAAAATAATAAAAAATAAAATAAAATAAAAATAATTTATGGATTCAATTAAACAACTAGTAAATACTATAATTTTACTTATTAATAACATGATTTTAAAAATAAAGCGATACTAAAAATCGCAAAACAAAACCTGGATTTCGACCAATTAGAATGATGTAATGTGATGTGTTTATTTGAGCGTTGTAGATAAAAATATAAGCGAACCCCAATAAAGTAAAATAAAATAATAATAAATCGTTTATTTTAATATATATGAAACTAAAATATATTATATAGTATACATAAAATGTTTATCAACAATCAAATTAATTCTGAGTCTTGTTCATTGTCCTCTAAATGAATTAAATGTCCAATCTGCGAAAAAAAAATTTCAAAATACAATGAATTTTAAAAGTATTAATCATTAAAGTTATGCTATAAATGAACGAGGTTACTTATATTAATGTAAAACTTAAATAATCTAATCAACAGGAAATTTTTATTTACTCGTCCTTTTTATACATAACATAAAATAAGCGTCAGCTCACCTTTGAAAGAGGTAAAATTTTTATAAAGACCCAAAGCCACCACCACGTTGCAGTATTTCAATATGGCGGCGATTATTGTAATACAAATTTTCGAATTAAGTTCGTACGATGATGATCGTTAATCCCACATTCTGAAATAAATGTATAAATATATCCTGAACCATTCGATAAATTTCAGGTTTGATATTTACAACTTTTTAGTTGAAATATCGTTCCTATGAGGGAAAGAAAATTGGACTCAAAGTCCATTAAAAAATGCATGTTAGTATAGTAAAAATACTGACAAAGGTTTGTTTCTTGTTGAAACAAATAAATGACATCACAGTTTGTGGTATTACATATCAACGCATGTTACATGACATTGGGAATCTATCAGTTTCATCCGACCATATGCCCAAGGCTAGTCGTAACTGTGTCCACTTGCCATGTGTGATGACTCTAATTCCTGCCTCCAGATCATCATTGATTTTTTTTTAATAATTGCAGTATAAAAAAGAAATTGAATTACCTTTTTCGTTTGAATAAAAACAAACAAACTTTGGTTTCATTAATCAAAGCATGTTATATAACATATCAGGGTCTATTGTTATACTTAGTTAATAATGATATTAGAGATAAATCAAAATGCTTGCTCAAACTAACAAACCTTCCAAAGAACACAAATAGATGACAACTTATTCCAATCGAAAAAGCAGTTAAAGCCACGACCTTCATCATCCCAAAATCCAAATCTGTTTCATCCAAATATATACCAAGGCTTGCCGTAATAACTCAAATCCTTAACAGATCATCTTTTTTTTAAAAAAAAACGAAAATACTTCTAAAATAAACGACATTTGACTAAAACAAGTTCGTTAATATGCCTATAAAATGTTTTTTTCTCACTTATAATAAACTGTTTGAAGTTGCAGCGAATTACAAATAATCTTTCCAAAGTAATGATAGAAGCCGTGGCTTTATTGGTCTGTTCTTATTTTATTTTTGATGTTAATATTTTAAAAATCTAAATAAAGAAAGGAACGAAAGGTTGATATATTTAAAAAAGTAAATTTAATGATGTAATCAATTAATGCAATGCAATGTTACATAATATAAATTATTCGAATGACGTTAAACTTGGAATCAGTTTAATAATATATTTATATACCATAAAAAATATTTTACCCAAGCCTTTTTGTTTTTCTTTGAGTGGAAATTTTCGCAACGAGTGTAATAGATAAATATTTGATAAATTTGTAATAAAGAACTAAAATACATGATCATTAATAATAAAACTTTACAATAACTTTTGATAATTTGAAAAGTTCGTAATGATAGTCATAGTGAGAAAGTTAAAGGCAACATACGTGTTACCTTAAAAAAGATCTTATCGAGATTCAGATAAATGTAGTGACCAAAATTTAATTTTATTCTAAGAGCGTTACATGTGAAAAATATACTATGACCTTTAAAACAACTCTCGGCTAAACTGCCATAGTAACTAAATTTCAGATTAATTGGTTCAGTTTATAATATAAAACTGATAAACTTTCAGATTATTCAGATCTAGTAAGAGGCGATTTTTGGGTGGATTTTTTGCTTTTTTAGGAAATTTCTTATTTTAGAATTATGATAAGTAATCAGAAGTGACTTTTGGGTGAATTCTACATTTTCCTTTCATTTTTTTTTAGGAAAATTCTCATCCCATTTTATAATTAAGGGAAGTAAGTCAGTGAATATACAATTACAATTAATTAATATTTTTTTTTTATTCGGATATATACTATATTTATTTTTATTATTATTTTTGTTTTTAGTTTTCATTACTTTTGATTTCAAATCGTATCAGTCTGTAAGTATCATTTATATACATGTATATATATATTTCAATATTTTAATAACGGGTGGTGGTCGATTATTTAATTAATTCTTTAGTACTTATCATAACTTAATCAACAAATCGTAACAACACATTTAATCATTTTATATAACAATAGTTGAAAAAAATATCTTATTTTGATGAAGATTCTAGATACGTTACTTCAGAGCAGAGTTTTAGATAATTATTCGATAGACTAACACTTACTAATTTTACTTAATTACCGAAATTATTCTTTCTGGTATAACACCAAAAATCAAATATAACTTGCAAGTGTAGCAGTACGATGATAATTTATTATAAGGTGATTATATACATTAATTAACGTACCTAAAAATATAAATAACACACAGTAAAAATATGAAATAATCGTGATAAAAGTAGCAAAAATATATTTAGTTTAGTATACTTTAATTAGGTTATTCTGCTAAATTTTAGCTCGTCATGTTCGTCATAAAAAATGATTTTTAAACAAGAACAATTTTAAGAAAACAGTCCTAAAGTATGAAAGCAAAAGAGCGAAAGTATAAATAATAAAAAGATAACGAAAAGGCATAAAAATGATGATGAAATAAAAAAATCATCATTTAAAAAAAACATATTTAACGTAAAATATTCTAAACAGAGATATAATAGAAAATGAAAAGCTCGTTGTAAATTCAAAAGTTAATTTTTTATTTTTATTTTTCTGTCGATTATTATTAAAAGAATTGCACGACAGACTTTAAATTCATGGATGATGTTAAACATTCATTTCAAGAAATTTGAAATAACAATTATTTTCCTTAACAAAATATTCTAGAATGATGCTATTCTCCAAATAAATGTTTTATTACGTACTTACATTCTCGTATAGCTAGCAACTTTCACTATATTCAAGATTCTTGCAAATAATGAATATGCGACGATATTATGTTGACACATGGATGAAAGACCTCAATGAAATTTGCGGATGAAATTGGATATAATGATAGATTTTTCAAAAGACGTAAAGAGTAATATTTAATGCAGCATTTATTAACATTAAGAATTAATGAGAATAATCTCCTCCAACAAAAATCCACTCCGTAAAATAGAATACTTACTCTCTTATAATTGGCAAATTATAAATTTGTAAGATTGGTTTTCAATAAACTTAGCAATATATTAGTTCTAAAAATTTATAATAAATCAATGAATAGAAGGCGTGTGTTCAATGATTCTATCATGGCTCTGAATCATCCATCAGATAATAATGATTGACCAAAAGTTTTAAATTAAAAACCCGCACACACCATCAAAAAAAGCTTGGGCATGTGACTTACATTATATAATAATTAGGGAAGGTATCGGCTCAAAATGAGTCGATTCTGGAACGGATTTTAAATTTAGCAGATTATGAATCTCCGGTTACAAACAACTATCGTTTGATGACCATCAAATTTTTTAATTGATCTTCATCACATGTTCTACTTGTGTTTTAATGAGCCGAAGCCGATGAAGAACCGAAATTGAACCGACGAGTCGATCCCCATCCCTATTTTACTCTCCTTTAAAAGGAAGGAGTTTCCTTTTTTCATTCGCGTCTGTAATTTTTCCGATTTTTGATAGATAATAAATTATGACAGTACTTGAGAATATTTCACATAGGTCTAAAACTAAGCATGAAATTATTAAATAAACAATAAACGAAAAAATCAATATAATTTTTTCATAACAAATCCTAATCTTGCATCTGTATCAATTCTGAATATGATCCTTTTTATACGAAAACATAATAGCCAATTCAATAATGTATCACCATAAATATTATTGTTAACAATTTTAGTAATATGGTATGGACGAACTTGAATTTTTTCAATATCAATGCGATAAAGCAAAGAGGGATCGAATAATAATAATTTTTTTATTTAAGTATAAATTATAAATTAATAAATAGTTATTGGTCAATGGTGGTATATATAAATTTCAAATGTGTGTTCAGTCAAAATCTAAATTAGACCTAAAGTATAAAAATTAAATTATTATCAAAAAAAAAAAAAAAAAATTATCTCATAACGTTGGATGATTTGTGTAACATGAGTGGATCGTTTGACATGGGACCCAATTTTCTTTATAAATTTGCGGAATATTGATAAAATTTTTATACCAGGTTTCAAATGATTTTGAATAATTCAATAATACATATCCTTTACCTTATTTCTATTTTATATAAACTAAACTCAACAAATTTTATTTTTGATGAAAAGTAGGTTTATTAATTCTTTCCAAGAATTACACACAAGGCCGAAGTTGCCAAAATCGCAACGAAAGAGAATTTTGTATGTTTATTTTATTTAAAATTTTTCTTTTGCAAAATAAAAAAGAATGAAGAAAGTATTAACTATAAATTTAATCTACTTACAATTACTTTTATCCAAAGATTAATCACTGATATAATTTTGTCCGCGTGTAGTATGTACTCTAAAAACTGTTTCTAGACCAAATGAGTTAATGCCCGAAATGATTATCCCAAATGGCTAACTTCAGAAATCCAAATGAGGATTTCCACTTCGAATATCTCACATGATCGTTTAGGATCCTCATTATGACTTTTTATGTATCCAAATGATCCAAACTAGGGATTGGAATCGATTCTATCAAAATCGAATGAATTCGAAAATCAAATTAGAATCGATTAATCGAAAATCGAATAAAAAAAAATGGTATCTATGTTTAGTAGCGTAAAGTAAAACTAAACGTAGATTAAACGATCCTTGGCGTATTTGAGAAAAAAGATGACATCAAAAAAAAAAAAAATTTAAAACATTTGAAAATCTATCGTTCGAAATCGCGTACTTCCAAGAAAATAATGGTCAAAAATAAGTAAAATACTAATTCTCGAAACAATCGAACCAGAAAAAAAAAAAGAAAAATTAAATTCCATAAAATAGGTTTAATCGATCGAAACGAAAAAATGATTCTGATCTCTAGATCTAATATCTTGATCAAAGAATCATTTCTCCATAAAAAATTTCGATTAGAATCGATTCCATCCCTAATCCAACGACAAATAACGAGCATCCTAAATAGTTATTCCATTCGGAACATATCATGTGCAATTTGAAGTATGTCTTTTGTATGGTTTTTGGAATATCCGAGATGATCATTCGGCGAAGTGACCATTTGGGATATACCAAGCATCCATTTGGGATAATTCGAAGTGATCATTTGGAATAATTGCCAAGCGCATATTCCAAACGATCATCACATTTGAAATATTCCAATTGGCATTCCAATTTGGGAATATCCGAAATGATCATTAATTGTCGTTTCGAGCTTTCGAAATTATTTTTGTACGGCTCCCCATAATGGTTTGGTACGAAATCCCGAAGATCAAAATTCCCGAAGGGTCATAAATCCCGACCTAGTGACCATAATCCCGAATATTATTTTATGAAATATTTAACGAAGTATATTGAGATTTTTAAATTTTTGCTTTTAAAATTTAACGAAAATCTTCACCATGACCATTTTTAAATATTTTGCCAAACCATCGATAAAAGTTGCTAAATCATACAATGCAATATCTCATAAAAGTTTAAAATCATTAATAAAAATTTAATATGTCGTGCGATACAAATCGAATATTGCAATTAGCAAACTATTATTATATTATAATTTTAAAATTATGATATTCGGGATTTTGACCCCTCGGGATTATGGTCATTCAGGATTATGACTTCGGGATTATGACCCGCCGGGAATTTGATCTTCGGAATTTTGATATGAATATTTGAAACGTTTCATGGACAATCCGAAGTGGTCATTTGGCATATCCCAAGTGAGCATTTCGCATATAAAACATCATCATCCTTGGCATCTTCTATTGATAATCAGATAACAGGGATGATTTGTATGTAAGACCCGAACTTGGCAAGAAGCTCAATGTATAAATAATTTTTAATTATTTAAAGAAAGCTACTGACCTTTATCTATATTGAATTCAATCATATAAAGCGTTAAATCTCCTAATTTTTAAATAGAAAAGCAAATTTTGTGAGGTTTTTCATGTGGGATAAGAATCTTCTTTCTCTAATGATAAGTTGACAAACTGCATTATAAAAAAAATATTGACATCATTAGAAAATATTTCGAACTTATCTTTTGATTTTTTAATCGATAAAATTATTTCCGCGGAATAACGATATAAAATTTCAAGCTTGCGTAACCTTATTTATCAATTGCATAATTCAATGGTAATTCCACTATTATATAAATAGAGAACAGTTTTTCTCAAGAATTCAGAGAAAATATATATATTTATATTACTTGAAATACGAATTTTAAACTTTAGTATGACTGAAACTAAGAAAAATAACAGGTACGTTATCATTCTTTCACCAGTTTACTTTTTTGAAAAAATTAGAGTTAAATTTATATATTATAGGACGTCATGCTGCTATCCTAATATCCAAGCAGATATTGTTGACGGTGATTTTAGACGTATTGTAGAACAGTCATTTAAATTATGGTTATGTAATGTATTATTTATGATTTCTGTCTGTTTTACATTAAAATATGGCTTGGTTGTTTATATTTTTTAATTTCTTCATTTCTAGTTTATATTGTTACCTTGGCCTTTAATCTCGCAGCTGTCGTCGTTACCTCAGTTACAAAACATGAGGATGGAATCACTAAACCAATCATAAAAGCTATTGTATATATATGTGCATGGCCATTATTCCATTTCTTTGTGGGTCATCGAGGCCTATATCAAGCATTTAAGTAAATATCGAATTAAACCTTTTTTCTTTTTCTAGTTATTCATATTAACTTTGTCTTAAATTTTCTTTTGTAGATTAGATAGTCTAAATTATTTCAGAATGTTCTTCCTTAGTTCATTATTAGGAATTGAATTTGGTTTGTATAAAATTTTCGAGTGGTGTTACGGTGGGTGGCTTTACGCTGGCGAAATTTATGATAATTTTAAAAATGACCGTATTATTGCTGGAACATTAAGTGCCGTTTGTGTTGCATCAGTTTTAATTGAAATTATCGGTCTTGTTATAATTTCCACTAAGGTAATTAATTAATCCTCCTCTTTTATTATGTTTTATGTTATTTAATTTTCGATTTATTAACCATTAGAAAATAAATTGTTAGGTCAATAAGTATTTTAAAACCCATGATGATTGGACTTTAATGCCCAGTCTAAGAAAAAAGTCAAGGAAAGAACAAGCGCGAGTTTAAGTATCTTTGTGTGAAAATTTCACAACTTGCTATTATTCTTATCAGATCAACAAAACAAAATATTAAAGATATATAGAAATTTTTTAATGATTAATCTAAAAAAAAACAAATGCGTAACCAAAGTAGTTATAACGTGAAAATATTTTTTCAAAACATTTAGTAGCAATAGGGAAATGTTTATTCGTTTTTATTGATTTGTAGGATCTGTCGCTTATTCTGTTTTTTTTTTAAAGTATCTAAAAAAAAAATAACAAATAAAAATACAAATTTAATTAATTTAAATTTATGTGGCGATTCCTTTCAAACATTCCAGCGCAAAATTCTCCCGTCCCGTTTGTCCCGTTTATTTTCCCGCAAATTCGTTTATATAAGTGATGCTCACTTTTTTTCGAATTCAATTGCATTTTTGACTTTATTGGATATTTCGAGATTCTAGCTGTTCCTCTTAATTTCGTATATAGGGTATCCTATTATATTGTTCAATGAAAAAAAAAATGAAAAAAATTAATGATTTGAAATTACATATTTATATTCGAATATTAAAATCTCACGATTGAAAAAAATGTAAAATAAATTAAATAAAAAATTAATAAATCCTGAAAAATAAATAAAATAAATAAAGATAAAAATTTAATACAAAAAAATTTATCGGTTTATTGTTAAAAATTAAGCCGTGATCCGGTGACTGTGGTGATCACCTGATTTAGCCGATGATATTTATTATATTAGATATATTTATCATATTATTATATTATTTACTATCAGTTTATTTTATATAAATAGCTTGAGTTGAAAGAAAGGATTTTGTGAATAAACCAAGAGTTCAATAAAGATATTTGTTATTCATTTACTATTTATTACCTTTTACCGTGTCTTCATACAGGCGTGATTGTGATAAAGTTATTGTGATTAATTCGAAGGACTGAATTATTTCGTCTAAGTTTTATTTCTAGCCCTCCAGCTAACAATATATAAAAATAAATAAATGATCAATTTTGATATCCGTCGTTTGAATTCAGATATTTTGTTAATTTATGCGTAACATTTTAATTCCAATTTCAGATATGAGGTTATTGTACTTCAGACAAAATCTGAATTTCAGTTACGAAATCGTCTTAAATTGGATATTCGCAAATTTAAACTCATTCTGTAATTTAATACATTTATTTCCATTTGCATCAAAATTATCAATTAATTATTACTTCAATGTAATGTAAAAAGGGAATACACTTGAGTCGCTCCAATTTGGAACTTTCCCATCCCTAATAGTAACGATTTATATATTGACATCCGGTAATTCTTATACAGAATAAGTAAAATATTCAATTGGACATATTTTTGGACTCAAATAATGTTTAATTAACAATTGAATACTATATATACCCATTTAAATAATGTCCAAATACCCAATTATATAAATTATTTATTGTCCAATTCCCAACCTAACCCTGCTAATTTGAATAAATACAACAATCCCTAAACAAATTGACTCTGTTGGCAACGTTTGCGAATGAAATTATTTCTCTGAAATTAGAAATAATGCGACCCGTAAATTTTTGCAACTAATAAACGGATATGATTAATATCGGATATGAGGATTACATTTTGCATAAGATAATTGGGTTTAACTGCATAAAAAGTTAAAATTTATTGAAAATAACCTTCATTTCTTGTTCCTAGTGATGCTATTGGTCACGGTGAAGGCATGATCACTGCTGCGCCGATATTCAATAGCCAATCATGTAATTTGGTTTGGTTAACAAATCTGACGAAATATCCGATGATCTATAATTAGTAGTACCAGCCGTTGGAGTCAGAGTCGACGGCTGAGTCGACTCTGCAAAAATTATTTAGAGTCAACTTCGGAATTTTCAATGACTGAGCCATGACTGAGTCGCTGTCCCAAATTTGATATAAGGTCAGAATATTGTGAAATTTTTAATTAAATAAAACTTCAAATTTTTAGTCAAATGGGATTCTTGTCAACATTATTTATGATGAAACTTATAATTATCTATCTTTTTGCAACATTAATTAAATTTTAAAAATTTTTGAATATTAATAATACAATTATCGTCGCTAATTTCAAATGAGAGACTCGACTGAAAAGTCTCTAACGACTGACTGAGTCGACTCCAGAATTTGTCACGGCTGGTACTACTATCTATAATAGATGTAATATATAACTATATAGCTGTTGTGTAGTATCATATAGAACAATAGAAACAATAGAAGACAAGATACGAATCAAGCAAATAAGTTGATTTCTGGAAATAATAATTGAAAATTATAATATTAAACATTCTTCTTCACTAATTAAATAAAAACATTTTGAGTGAAATTATTGTAAATCTTATATAAAGAATTCTTATAATCAAAATATTGTTGATCAAGTGATCAGTCAAAATCGATGTCAATTGGTTGATCAAAAGCTTAAATTTATATCTATTTTTAAAGTTTAAAGTGTAAGACACTATTTAGAAGTATTTTTTACATAATTAATAGTAAAATTTTGTGAAAATAATCAATTTTCAAAATGGCAAAATTTTCAACTTTTTAACCAGAATAGTAACAGCAAAATAAATGCCAAATGTCAATTCCTTATCTAAAGAATAGCTTATGTTCCTAATATCAGAAAGATTGGACCATAGTTAACGAGAAATCTGCTTTTAAAAATCATCAAAATTTGGTAAAAATGATGATCTACATAGGAAATCCACAAAAATTAACGATATCGATATTTGAAAGCAGATTTTTCAACAATTACTGATCTGATCTTTCTGATTTTTGAAATATAACCCTTCTTTTAGTCAAAGAATTGACTTTTAGCATTCATTTTACTATAATTGATCTGATTAAAAAGACAGAAAAATTTTCACATTGAGAATCAAATATTTTTGCAAAATTTTACTAAGTGAAAAACACTTTCAAATAGTTTTTTATACTTCAAATATTATAATAGATATAAATTTATATCAAAACCCGATTTGTTTTTAGTTTTTAGGGTGGTTGGATACGTTTTGTAAGGGAGTGTACATAATAAATATGAATAAATAATAAATATAATAGATCTATCTAATATGAACTATATGAACTAACTAATTAATATAATGAAAATAACAAATATAATAAATATAGCTACTGCTACTTCTTAGAATGATTTTCACTTGATTAGCCAATTTTATTGCATGAATGTTATAATTAATATCGTAAATATTTCATAATTTAATCAAAATAATAAATATACTATTTATTTAAACTATTATATTTAAACTATTTAATTGCAAATTAAATTAAAAATACGAAAATAAAATAAATAGTTTAATTTATTGATTTATGTAAAATTTTTATATTTTTTATATTTTTGTAATGCTTCATCTAATGAATTTGCTATATATATTACTGGTTCGGTTTCATCATTATCATCACAATACATATCAATTTTTAGATTAACATGATCATTAAATGCTATTATATATAAATAAGAGACAATGCAAGCATTTAAATCTATTTTTACTATAACAGGATTTATGATAAGTGTAATTACAAACAAGAATTTTGATAGGATCATCTGCATTAATAAATGAAAAAATTAAACAGTTAGATTCATCATAATATTGAAATTAATATATTTATTTATAGTATTTAAATATAAAGAAAGATGACCTAGTTATCCTTTAAATATTTTTATTGCAAGTAAAATAAAATCAGCCTTTTATTTACTTTTTTTCTTAGAGATGGATTTAACTGTAATAAAAATATATTAGTAATCTATAGTGAAATAAGCAAATGTATATTTTTGAAAATATTATAATAGAAAATAAACACTTTAAACTGTTATATTTTATGTATAATACTCATACTACCTATAAATGCATATGCAAAATTTTCTCTAAATCTATTATCTTTCAAATATATCAGATTAAAATATTATTCATATTTAACAATTTACTTTGCTTCTGTATATTTTTACATACTTTTACATAAGTAACTGTAAAATATTTCTAAAGTAAATGAAAATTTTGAAAGTTTTACTTTAATGATTTCTAGAATTAGATAATTATTTAGCTCATAAAGAAAATATCAAAAAGAAATATAATGGTATTTTGATAAAATTTCTTTGCTAAAATTTAAAAAATATTATCCAAATACAAAAGCAAAATTTCTAAGTAAATCTAATACAAGTAAAATTATATTATTAAATAAATCTTTTAATATAAGATATTCAGTATTATAACATCGTAATTTTATTTTAACAATTGTAGAAATTTCTTATTAAGTATTATGAAATCTTTAAAAGAAGATTGATTTATTATAAATTAAACTTTTGTACAAGTATATTATTTTTCTAAAAATATATAAATATATAATTAAAATACTTCTTATAAGAAATAAAAATAATTATTAGTATAATTGGAATTGAAATATGGTATTGAAAATATGATATTGATTTTATTACTAATACATCTTTTACTAAAATATTTTAAGTTAGTTAGATCCATTTAGCAAATTGAATTATAGAACTTTGATGTAAATATATTAGTTAGTCAATAATAATATCTTAATTTAGTTACTAGATAATACTTGAAATAATTTAAGTAGCAATTAAACAAATTATTTATATAAAATAAATTATGTAATCTAGTATTGTATTATTTATTGAACTTAATGGTTAATAAGAAAATTACAAGAAATATAATAAAAGTGAATTTTACATTGCAAAATATATTTTATTTGAATATTTAAGATGTAAATATTTACAATATTAAATAATAGTGATTAAAAAGTGAAGTTATATGATATTTTATGTAATATGATATCATTTGATGAAATGTCTTAAAAAGAAAATATAAAATAAAATTTGAAAAAAGAATAGTAAAAAAACTATTTTATAATGATCTTGTAAAGAATAATGAAAAGACAAAATTAATGTTATTTTGAAGAAATAATTCAAGATATTTTAATAGAATATAATAATATAAATGTTAAATCAATATGTT